GTTGGTCGAGTCTAAGTCCAAGAGTTTCAATGTCCACAGGACTTCACGAACAACTTAGTTGAATCACGTTCGACTAAGTCTGATTGTGATTTCCTTTTTTAGGTCAAAATAAGGTGTTTATTTTAGCATCTTGACTTAATGTAGGTGTTTTGAGGTGTTGACCTCACTCCTATTTCGAGACTCGTACTTGAGATTTATCGCTTCAATCAGGTGGGTACATTTACGTTGTATCTACATTTATCGCACTTATTATTTTGTATAAATGTTTCGTTCGAAAATTGTTGTATGCGTGATAACCCTAGTCTAAGTGTCCCGTTGGTAGTGCCTTTGACGAATGCATAAACAGTGAGAGGTCACCTGCCCAATGTATCCGGGAGGAGGACGCCCTGATCCGTGTATTTTCGGGGGGGAAAACCAGCTCCACTGTCTCCTGGAAAGGATCCCTGATCCATGTGTGGTTCATGGTGGGAAGGTTTCCAGTTACTTTCTTGCCGTGTTGTGATCGGAAGGTTGTTGTATGTACATAGGAGGTTTGCGATAGGGCCGTGTAGGGAGTTAGATCTTGAATTCTATGCATACTGTGTTTATGTTTTAAAATTTTTATACGAGATAAACTATGCAGTAATGGTGAGCATGATGGTTTTGCTCACCCCCATTATTTTTCTGTTGTTTCCTCTTCCTTTCTTTAGGTTGAGCTGAGCTGGTGGCGGTGGTGTAAAGACGAACGAGTGATGGTCATTAATTGAATATGTTATCGTTATATTATGCTTCCGCTAATCTATGATATTGTCAAACTGTTACTTTGACTTGGATTTATTTCCTGCTTTGTTTTGGAATAAATTGATTATGTCAGATTGAACCTTGGAATTATTTTTTGACTTTACATTGTGGAACTTAATGAATGCTAGTTTAAATGTTATATCTGTTAGTTATGCATGTGTAGGTTTAATCTGATGTATTTGTATTTTTGTTTCATTGTCCTTGGTAGATAAGTAGCGCCTGTTGAGTTTTAGATTTAATTTAAAATTTTGCGAAAATTTACTATGATTTTTATAAATAAAATTAGTAAATCCTTTGTAATAAAACGGGGCGCTACAAGGCTATTTATGGTGAAAATTTTGGAGAGATTTTCTGAGAATTTTCTTTTGTTTTCCGAACGTACGAGAGGTGAGGGAGAGAGTTTCTGACCAAAAAAAACTTTCTAAGGTAAAGCCGTGTCAATGAGGATAATTTAAGGGGATTAATTTAGGGAAAATCCTTTAAATCTTATGGAATCCAGGAGAATTTCAACATACCCAAAATAAGACCTATTATCTATATATATACATATAATTACTGGCTCATGAGAAATTTATAAAACCTATTAAATTACACCTATGTGCTCTGTTCTAAAAATCGGCTAGGTGGCCGCCTAGGCGCTAGGCGGTAGCCTCCGATTTGCACAAGCCGACAGAAAAAATCGGCCAGGCTGCTAGGCGGCGCCTAGGCGGACCTAGGCGCTCCTAGGAGGGCTCGGCGGCAATTTTTAAGTTTATTTTTTTTTTATTTTTTTATTTTTTAAATACTAATTACATTATTTTGTTCATGTTTTCATTAATATATATTAATATTATTATTTGAACTTAGGTGTGTGGATTTGTTATAAGTTGAGATAGTTTATTTTGTAGATAGTTAAAATAAATAAAAAAAGTATTTCATATTGATTTCTAGGCCTCACATAGGCGCTAGGCATTGGTCAAGCGCCTAGCTACTTTTACAACACTGCCTATGTGGCAATATAACTTTTTTCCTCCAAAAACCGTTACTTTTTATTTATGTAACTTCTCCTTTAATTATTAGATAATCAACATACTAATCACTTTAAAATTATAAAAATCATTTTAATTTTCTTACAGCTGAGCATATAATGTGTTGACTATTTAACGTGATTAGATGTTATTGTTGTGGTTACATTGAAATCAACTTCTTTTGGAAAATAAAGAAACGTACTTTAAATTCCTAAATAAATAATAAATAATTCACAAAAAAAAATACATACCAAAATATACATTACATCCAATATGATAAATGCAATTTAAAAATATAAATATTCACAGCTCCTTTAATTATAAATTTGGCATGCAAAAAAGAGCAAGAAAAAATCATTAATCATTATATGCGTACAAATAACTCACAATACTTTATTTATATCTGTGCAAATGCACAAGTCGAATACTAGTTATAAGGTGAAGGAGCGGATGAGAGGGGATGAAAAATGGGGATTTAGCTTGACCAAATACTTGTCAAAAAGCTTTAGGATTTATTTGAATTTGAAAAGGATTTTGAGGAGCCAAAAATGCCTTGAGTTGGACCGGTTAGCTTAGGCCTTGGGCCGATTTGATCAAGGAAAAATGGCATAAAAATAGCTCCCAGGGGTCGGATTTTAAGACCAAGGGAAAATGGGTCGAAAAATGTCTCAGAATAACACTACGTGATTAAACCGAAGAGCGTCGAACGAACTAACTAACAAATAAAATAAATTAAAATAAGCCATACACAATATAAAAATAAAAGCAAACGTATACAAATATAAGAGCAATGCAATTATTTAAAGAGAGCAATCACATAATAATAAAAACGAGCACAACATAATAATTGAAGGCAAACAACAATAAAACGAAATAAAAGCAAACAATTATATAAATGCAAGCAATTAAATAAATAAATACAAGAAAATATATTAATCGAAAGGGGCGCTACAACTGAAGTGTTTTGTTTATTGTTGATTTTGAAGCGGTTGAAATAGTCTTTTATATATTGTTGGTAGTTCATTTTTCTCACATTGTGCTGGTTGTGACATGCTAGAGTTTTTTGTTAATGAATGCAAGTGTTTGAATAATGTGTAGGAATGAATGACTACATTTCATTGATAATAAAGACATACATTGTCAAAATGATTACACACAATTACTTCAGAATATAACAGCCAAAAGAATTACAACAAGCAAAACAAACAATTCATTGCTAAAATTTTTCTCGATTTTCTCCATCCTTGATTGCATCTCCTTCACCATTGTTGCAACTTCTGCATTTTGGTTTGTTATATTTTCTCCTGTTGATTCAACTTCATCTTCATCATGCATTTGATTTGACTTCACCCAATTCACCGAGGTAGGTTTAAGCCAAACAAAAAAACCACACTTGTTGTATAGATAATTGCAAAATAGCTTGCCGACATTTTTTTTTTGTAGGACCCACAACCCTAATTTGAGCAAACGTGTTGCAATAACATTTAGAGTGCCTATACCTTAAATCCAGACTCTCATTCTTCGCGTCCTTGATTTTGGGAAGACATTTTCAATCTACATTCATTTTAAAAACCATAAATAAAAATGATATTTAAAAAAATTGCTTGCCTGTTCGTCGTGTTGAAAAAGAAAATTGCTGGAAATCTGTTGATGAAAAAAAAATTGCTGAAAAATCTGGCGCAAAAAGTTGCTGCAACATATGCAGACAATATTTTGAAAAAAAAAAATACCTATTCTTTTTGGCGCCAAATTCTGGAGCATATGATGGATTTTGTGCCAAAATGAGGTAAAATGATGGAGGAAATATTGTCGAGGGTTGGTGGCTATTTAAAAGGGTGCTGAGGGGTAAAATGGTCCTCTTTTGATGTGAAATTAAAAGAAATGGTCGCAGCGATGGCGCGTGCAAACGTACAATACAAGTAGGTTTGACGTAACTTTTATATTACAGAGGAAAAACGCACATATTTTGTGTGATACAAAAGGGTACTGTATATTTTTACCCGAAAAGGGTGCGTACAAATATTTTAGATGTTTTTAATATTTTAAACATATATTTTTTATGTTCTTTTATGCAAGATAATTTTATATAGTTTACAACTGATATACAATAAATTATATAACATATTAAATTCACATCTTTAATTTATAATTATTAGTTAATATTGTTTATCCCATCTTTAATTTATATTTATTAGTTAATACTATTTTTTTCTGATTTTTAATTAATAATTATTATTCATATTGTTCCCGAACATCTCGCACGGGCTATGCACTAGTGGTCAGTGGCGGAGCCACATACAACTTCTCCCGGGCTTTAGCCCGACTAGAATTTTGGTGTACTATATATATATATAGAGTATATACTTAAAATAATTTTAATTATATATATATATATATAATTATAATTGAAATTGAACAATATTTATAATGTTAGTCTAACTAATTAAATATTTGACATAATCACATCAAATAAATTATCGAACCATTTTAGATTTAAATAATCATATCAAAGATATCAATATTTGAGAGATTTTATTTTGATAAAATTAAATAATTCATTAAATATGAGAAATAATTGTTCAACAAGTTACATTTGTTATTAATAAATGTTCTTTTTTTCTCTTTTTAATTTTTATTTTTGTGATGTTATAATAAAGTGTCATTGACTCTTTTAAGTCAACTCCTAAATTTAAATTAGAAATATATTTTAGTTAAACGAATATACTTAAAAAAGAATCACAAAAATACTTAGAAAATAATATTTTTTATCAAAATTTTTGTGTAATATCAGTTATAATTTTAGCTCATGTAAGTTAAAAATCTAGGCTCCGCCAATGTTAGTGGTGATATAATGGCGAACAAAGTATTTTTTTTTTTTTTTTGNTTTAATTTTATAAATGAAAACGTGAGATGGGTCTGTTGGGAACCAGCCAGGAAAGCTATTAAAAAAAGGAAGCCCACAATATAACGCAACGCTGGCCTCACTTTTGCACTCCAAATAAATGGAATAGGTAATTAGGTCAAAAGTAGCATACTCTCGCTCTACATAATTACAAAATGGAAAGGGATAGTTAGAAAACCTAATTGATGGCTTATTCTTCCCTACTGCGCCGCGGCCGAGGTTTTGCCGGATTTTCTAGTTATTTGATTTCTGGAAACTGGAGTCGCGACTGTAATTGGTTTTGTGGGAGAGGCATGAGCACTGCGGCGCTAATGTCGCCGGAAAAAAGCAATCCATCTTGTTCTTGTTCTCCTTGGCTGATGCTGCAACCCGTATATGAAGCCGGCGCCACCTGCTCGGCCGCCACCACGTTGACTTACAAATTCTACAACCTGGCCGAGAACAGGGTCGTGACCCTGGGGGTCCCAACAATACCCGGCGACCTGATGAAATTCCGGGGTTCCTCCGGCGGCGGCTGGCTATCCCTTGTGCAGCGCAAAACCTGCGATCTGTTACTCTACAACCCCATATCCCGCCGCCGCATAAAGCTCCCACCTTTCTACGGCCAGCATGATTATCTACGTCTCCTTAAGTGTTTCCTGATCCCTTCCTCTCCCGACACTGAAAAATGTGTGGCCGTGAGCCTAATCTACTATGCGAATTCCATGGCTGTGTGCTGCCCCTTCTCCAGTGACAACTGGACCTGGTTCGGCGCAAATTCCAAAAACAGCAATTATTATATAGATTGCGTCTACTCCACAACCCAACACACACTCTTTGCCCTCACGGCCGATACTTATCAATTGGAGGCTTGGGACTTTACTGCTTCACCCCCGGAATTGATACGAATTATGGGTGAGTTTAGAAGTATCCTCGAGAAAAAAGAGAATTTGACGAAGAAGGAGTTGTTACAGTCGAAAGATGACTTGACATGTTGGCATTGTTACTATCTGGTGGTTGCCGGAGAGGATCTCCTGGTGGTGACTCAGTACATCATGCTATCCGTTGACTCGGATGGTTTGTATGTGGACTACGAGTGGGATGATTTGGAGAGACCACGTTTTGAGCTCCCGACCGTGACTATTGATTTTGATGTTCATAGATATGATCCGGAGGATGGGGATCTCAAGTATGTGGAAGGTTCGTGCTTGGGTGGTTGGGCTCTTTTCGTTGGTACCCACAGCCATTCTGTTGCGTTGCATGCGCCTGAGCTCAAGCCCAACTCAATTTACTTTACGGATCCTTTAGCAACATATAGGCATCAAGGTAACCATGACATTGGCATTTTCAGTTATGAGGACAAGACTGTGTCACCATGCTATTATCCATGCGACCCTCCCAACCTAAAACCGATTTTCCCACCGCCCATCTGGTTTTTCCCAAGCAGCTTCTGATTTTGGGATTTTGTGGATTCTTCTTTTTTTATTAGTAATTTTCATTTTGGACTTTGATGTAGCATGTTGTGTTCCTTAAATTATTTTGTGTTGGAATGTTTGGAATAATTTTTGACAAAAGCTTTGGGCACCTTAGCATTTTTCCTCAGTAATCTTTCTTACCAACTTTTCAGTCAGATAGACGGATAGAGAACCTCGTTATTTTTTAGCAAAATCTAGAGCGTGTAGTCGGGAATGCATAATTGCATCACAAAAACTGAAGAGAAAATCAAAATACATCATGTGTTATCATCAACTCAGCATCTATGTTGGAATTAGGGGACGATTTACAATATTACTTGTATGTTGTAGTTAGTGTGTGATGCAAAATAATTATGGTTATTATTATTATTATTATTATTATTATTATTATTATTATTATTATTATTATTATTAGTTTGCTTGGAGAATAAGTTAGGTTTTAGTTGAAGAGTCTTATTTAAAGGGGTCTTGTGCTTTGTTATTAGGAGAGTTGATTATTGAATGAAAATAAGATTGTGAGTTTTATCGAGAGAGTATCTCGTTTATCTTTCTCACTCGTACGCTTCCTACATCAGTTGGTATCAGCAGTCAGTATGATTCGCGATGTCGCCGGGACGACAAGATGCCGCAAACAAACGATGTGATGCAACCTTCAACGATCGGTTTCAACAGATCGACTACCGATTTGAATAGTTGGATGTGCGTTTCACGGATTGGTTTGCAGATTTTTCGACGGGGATCGAGGATTTGCATTTGGCGCTTAACAACGAGGTCTGGGATTTGCAGATGAACCGTGCTGCTGGCAACCGGGGTGTGCGCGGGGGAGTTCACGGGGAAAGTGGAGATCGTGGTCCAGGCGGGGCGCCCCGTTGGCCATCTCCACAACCGCCGCCCGACGATGCAGACGACGAGGAGACCATATCAGAGGTGGATCCCTTCGGAGAGTGGCCGCCTTCGCCTGTCGAGACTGAGCTCGTTGCTGCGCACGACAACCAAGATGTACAACAACAGAGTGGAACTTTTGAGGAAGATGACGGGCCATTGTACGACGGTCCGCCTATTTTCGATGAGGAGCCTCCGATGACGGAGACATCTTTGCGGCAATATGAGTCTCGCGTGGGACGTCGCAGAAGTTGAGCCTTTAACGGGGATGCCGTCGTTCAAATCTGATTTTTGGAGTATCTTGGCCAAATGGTTTTTTGGAACCGAAGCCGAGGCTCAATAATTGGTGGGTCATTTTTCGATTGTCTATCGCGAAATCTCTCGACAACGGGATGCTTGGTCGTAGTTATGAGTTTGAGCGCAACAAACGATATTGTATGTTTTGTGTTAATTCAGTTGTGTGGGTTATGCATATGGAGGCGTATACATGTATCTTTCCAGCATATCATTACTTGCCCAAGATTATGTTTACCTTCGGGGCTATTGGGCAACCTTCAACATTCGTGTTCGATCGTGGAAAACGCCCAGGCTATTGTTGTCATGGGGACGTCTCCAACGAGAACGTGTCGGATTCGAGGGCGAATCCTGCTCAATCGGGAGAGAATGATGCAAAATAATTATGGTTATTATTATTATTATTATTATTATTATTATTATTATTATTATTATTAGTTTGCTTGGGGAATAAGCTAGGTTTTAGTTGAAGAGTCTTATTTAAACGGCTCTTGTGCTTTGTTATTAGGACAGTTGATTATTGAATGAAAATTAGATTGTGAGTTTTATCGAGAGAGTATCTCGTTTATCTTTCTCACTCGTACACTTCCCTACATCAGGATGATGTAGGAAGCGTACGATGGGATTTGTGATAACAGAGAAAACTCTCAAGAACGATATTTTATTTCATAATCAATAATCTCCAGAATGACCAAGAGAAAGTGTCTTATATGCTCGACACTTCACAACCTAAACATAAATAATAAAAGCCCAATAACACAAGCCCAATAATACTGAATAAAAGAAGCATAAATAATAAAAACCGAATAATAATCAAACAAGGGGTCGAAGACGGTCATGCTTGTCGAGGAACGCCAACGCACTCTCGTCGGCATCATTCTCCCCCGGCTGGAGAGGATTCGCCCTCGAATCCGAACCACTCTCGTCGTCAGAATTGTCCCCGCAAAAAGGCACCAAGTGTTTGACGTTAAAGACATCGGAGGTGCGCACATGTGAAGGGAGACGAAGACGGTAGGCGTTCGGATTAATTTTCTCAATGATCTCCACAGACCCAATTTTCTGGGATTTTATTGTACGTGAGGGATTCCTTTTTAAAGGGGTCCGTTTGTGTATCCTAGAGGGTAGCCTTCGGCTGAAATTTATTGGGGATTTGCATGGGGCAGGACATGTGGGCCGTGATCGCTCAGTTGAGCTTGTACAGCGCACCTTCTTTTGGCCTACCTCAAGGCACGATGTTTCGCGTTTTGTGGAGCGGTGCAGAATTTGTCAGGTCTCGAAAGGTGTGGCTTCGAACGCCGGGTTGTATCGCCCACTTCCGGTACCCTCGCAGCTGTGGTGTGCCATTAGCATGGACTTTGTCCTTGGTCTCCCACGTACACATCGAGGTAATGATTCCATTTTCCTGGTTGTTGATCGCTTTTCTAAGATGGCCCACTTCATTCCTTGCAAGCGCTCAACTGATGCTGTGCATGTAGCTCAACTTTTCTTTCGTGAGATTTATCGCTTGCATGGCTTGCCCACGTCCATTGTCTCCGACCGCGATACACGTTTCCTCAGTTTCTTTTGGCGTAGTTTGTGGCGCCAGGCGAACACCAGGCTCGACTTTAGCAGTGCTTATCATCCCCAAACTGACGGCCAGACTGAGGTCGTCAACCGCTCTTTAGGGAACTTGCTTCGGTGCCTCGTTGGGGATAACTTGCATTCGTGGGATCTCCGGCTTAGCCAAGCCGAGTTTGCCCACAACTCGGCATTGAGTCGTGCCACTCAGCACAGCCCGTTTCAAGTGGTGTACGGGATGGTTCCACGGGGTCCGGCAGATTTGATCGCCTTGCCGTCTTCCGGGCTCGAGGATAAGCGGATCGAGGACTTGATGGACGAGGTGCGGCGCACTCACGACGTGGTCCGTGCGAATCTGGACACCACGACGGCCGCATACGAGCGGCGAGCAGACGCGCACCGACGGCATTTGGAGTTTGACGTCGGCGACTTCGTTTGGGCGGTCTTGACCAAGGACCGTTTTTCGGCCAAAGAGTACAATAAGCTAGCCGCCCGGAAAATTGGGCCTGTGGAGATCATTGAGAAAATTAATCCGAACGCCTACCGTCTTCGTCTCCCTTCACATGTGCGCACCTCCGATGTCTTTAACGTCAAACACTTGGTGCCTTTTCACGGGAACAATTCTGACGACGAGAGTGGTTTGGATTCGAGGGCGAATCCTCTTCAGCCGGGGGAGAATAATGCCGACGAGAGTGTGTTGGCGTTCCTCGACAAGCATGACGGTCTTCGACCCCTTGTTTGATTATTATTCGGTTTTTATTATTTATGCTTCTTTTATTCAGTATTATTGGGCTTTTATTATTTATATTTAGGTTGTGAAGTGTCGAGCATATAAGACACTTTCTATTGGTCATTCTGGAGATTATTGATTATGAAATAAAATATCGTTCTTGAGAGTTTTCTCTGTTATCACAAATCCCATCGTACGCTTCCTACATCAGTGTGGATTCTGCTTTTGCTGCTCTGCTCAGCTAAAATGACTGTAGCTCTGAAGCTAAATGATAGGGCATTTTTGATGCATAGATTCAAAATTTCTAATGATGCTTTTCCAATTTAGCAGCTGGCCCATTGAATACAAACTGTGATTTTTAACTCCCTTTTTGTATCTGCTCACAGGTTAAATTTCAGTTTTCGGTCTAGAGAGAATGGGGTTATCATAAAGAATTGTAATGTAACTCCTGTTTTTGAAGTTGATATTTCAAATGTAAACTGTTGATCTTCATTGTCATGATGTGAAAATTCTGTTTCTATATCTTAGGGGGTGACAGATACTTGAAACATTGAAATCAGTGATTATATTGTATATTTACAAAATGTAAGTGGTCAAAGAATGTCCTAGAAGCAGCATCCTTACACAAATTTTACTAAAGAACTATGGAATACCAATTTTTATATGATCACAAGTTAGTTCCGGATGACTCCAGCTAAGCAGCACTGCTAATGTGATGTAGAACGTGAATGACAAAAGGTATAAAAAAGATACTCTCTTTCGTTAAACCACACAAGAACAAATTTTCTATTTCTTAATCATCAACTCTGCGTACGTTCTTGGACAGACATATAATAAATAGAGTTCAAGATCCCCTGCAGTAATAGAAAATAAATAAGTTAATAAAAATAATAAGTGGTAACACAAAACACTCCGACCGGCTTGAAATCGGCTTGTCTTCCTCCTTCTCACCGGTAGAACACCGCGTACCTGCAAAGAACTCTCACACCGGGGGGTTTTTCCCGTGAAGAGCCTCCGATGCTTAAGTCAGTATGTATCTCACCCAATTCTCCAAAATAAGAAATGGATAAATCGTAAGCAACAAGAAAGGCTCATTCCTATATATTGGAGTGAGATACCTGCCATAGGAGCTGCCCAAATTTGGTGAGCTGTCTGCCCGGATCTGCCCGTCCGTACACACGCAGTGTGTGTGTGTCAGAGGTGGTTATTGCCACTATTGCTCTGCACCAATATCTTCTTGCCACGTGCCCTCTCTGAACATAGAGTAATTATTCCCTGGGAATTTCTGACGAAGTCCACGCGCTTTCTCGCGTTCACACCACGCCCGCGATTGCTCTTCACTCGCTAGATGCTCGATCAGGTAAGCTCCTCTTTAGTAGGTCGATCTTCGACCACTCCTTCTCAGTTTGCCATTGCTCAACCAATGTGGCATTTCCCCTCTTGAGCCTATATAACCGGCATAGCGAACCGGTTATTCCAAAGTTATATAATATCCCATATCATCTAGTCCCCCCAC